GTGTTGCTGGGGACTGAACCCAGGTACTCTGCCACCCTGAGCTGTAGTCTCTTCTGCTGGCTTGCCTAGCCATAGGAATAAATGGAAACTTTCCAGACCACTGTGAGGATCAGCTCCCTAGCCTGTGGGTTATCACACAAAAGGAGTGGGAGCATTTTCTGTTAAGGTGGAGAGCCACATTAGATATGCATCAGCCCTAAGTTGTCAAAATCTTTTATTATTTTGCTGAATGAATGTTTACCATTCAGTGCATTACTGTTTGCACCACATTTTGTTGGTTGCCCTAAAGCCAACAAAAACAGTTCCTTCTTTGCCTTTTATTTTTGTCCTAAGCTCCAGAAGGGCTGAAAAGGATGGCTGTTGGTCTCTCCTGGAAAGGAAAGGGTTACAAGTGACAACAGACAGAGCCCATCCCGCTTCTGTCTTCTTTTTCCAGACTTAACTTTTACGCCTGACATTTGGATAATACTTTGCTCTAAGGAAGGTGGAAAGTGGCTTTTCACTCTCTGTGAATTGCTGATAACACAGATGCGTTGAGCTAAATTGCAAAATCCCCCTGTTAAGAGTTGCTCTGTAGAGTCATTGGACTGAATTGAACTAAGTTTACTCAGGGTAGGCCAATTCAAATTAATGTGCCTACGTCAACCAGGTTCATAAATTTCAGTGGGTCTGCTTTAAGTAGGATTAATATTTGATACAACCCATAACTACTCAAATTCTGCTCTCTGTAAGAATAAGGGTCCATTTATACACAAGACAATGTACAGTGGTACCTCGGGTTACAGATGCTTCAGGTTACAAACGCTTCAGGTTACAGACTGCTAACCCAGAAATAGTACTTCGGGTTAAGAACTTTGCTTCAGGATGAGAACAGAAATCGCGTGGCGGCGGCGCAGTGGCAGCAGGAGGCCCCATTTGCTAAAGTGGTACCTCAGGTTAAGAACAGTTTCAGGTTAAGAACGGACCTCCAGAACGAATTAAGTTCTTAACCCGAGGTACCATTTGTTAGCATGCTGAGGGAATAAGACCAATATTAACACATTGCCTTTCATTTCAAAAAGAAATACTAAGACAACTGTAATCCCAATCTAAAACCCTGGAAGAGAGCTGCTGGCAGTCAGTGTGGACACTAATGAGCTGGAAGGACCAGTGGTCCAAGTTGGTATAAGGTAGCTTCCTACGTTCTATGATCCTGTGTGCTAATTAGCATTTACCTGACCTGTGTTATCTCTCTGGCATGATGAGTGGTAGTGGGGCAGCTTTTTCTTTCACCAGGGTATGCTTTGGTCAGCCAACATCGTTAGATTGTGTTTATCAATCCAGCATAGGTAAATTTGTGTAGCTTGGGCAGGAGAAATGGGAACTTTCCAGGCTGCTGCAAGAACAGACTCCCATATACTCTGCAAGTGCAAACCTGGTGTTTCCAATGAGATGGAATTTTGTGGTGCTTGGCGACTTAACGGAAAAGGAGAAGAATATTCTTGCCTACAAAATGCATGATTTCCTACCCACCGTTGCCAACTAGCTGGCAACAATGACATTTGGGCTTCTCTATGGCCGATCTGGTGTTTATTGTTTTTGTAATTATTATTAATACTGCACACCCCTCACTAGCAGGTCCCCAGGGCAGGTTACAACATTTTAAAGGTCAGTATTAAAAACAGTTAAAACAAATTGCAGCCATAGAACTGGGTGCTACAAACACACAGGAACCGCCTGCCAATTTCTGGGAAATTTGCCACAGAAGCTGCTGTTGAGTAATGGAATTGTGTTTGATTTCTGTACAAAAGAGCAGCCAAATGAAAGTAACCTCAGGGATAATAGGCAAAATGAATAGTATCCTGTGAAGCCCAAAAAGTTTGTGATGGTGAACAGTGTTTTGATCAAGGCAAAGAGGAAATACTTGTGCATATGTGTGTGCCCTCTCATCCCAAATAAACTAGAGTCTGGGGAAATGAAGTCCATGATGCAATCAAAAAAGGAGGCGGTCATCTTCTCCGCCTGGCTCCTTTTCAGTTTGCAAACTCTTTGGACAATTGGAATCAAGTCAGATGCTCAGTAGCAAAAACATATGAAGCTGTCTTACATTGAGTCAGACCATTAATCCATCTAACCCAGTATGGCTTGTTCTGCCTTAAGGGTGGAAGGGAAATTCATTTGGTCTGCGCTTGTTGATTCAACTGACCATAGTCACACCTCTTGAACTAATATACAGATTGGAATGTAATGATCCTTTGGCTCAGGCCACATGCACACCATGCATTTAATGCGCCAATACCACTTTAAACAATTGTGTCTTCCCACAAAAAAAAAAAAATCATAGGAAGTGTAGTTCATTAAGGGTGCTGAGAGTTGTTAGGAGACCCTTATTCCCAATTCTAGAACTACAATTCCCAGAATGCTTTGGCAGTCAACCCCTCTTCACAGGGAACTCTGGGAATTGTAGCTCTCTGAGGAGAATAGTGCTTTAAATGTTTGGTCTGAATGTGGCCTTAACCACCTTGAAGGATTAAAAAAAGAGAGAGAGAGAAAGGCTGTGTATAAGGCCTTAACATATAATTTTAAAACAAGCAAAGTCTTCATTCTTAGCTGAGCAGTAGTTATGGAAATCACCATGCTGCAGCAAACGTGTCCTGGCTTCCTTTTTGTTATGTAGTCTTCCATTATTATTAATACTGTACTGTTATTGCTACTACTTTGCAGCATGCTTGTCACGATTGCATCAGAACCAACATTTTAACAACACTCTCCCTGTTATCGGTGCTCTTCAGTGTTTTTAAGATACGAAGGTTGCTGTTCCCCCCCTTTTTTACATGCTAAGAGATGTGTTTTTCTGCAAATATTCATAATTCTTTTCCTGGGAATAGTACGTGCCTGATTTGCATAATTAACTGAGCCACTCCGGTTCCCCTGGGAAAGTGGTGCCTAATTGGGGAGAGATGGGGGAGTCTATTAAGGGGGGCTTTGGGGCCTAATTAAGCATGGTTAAAAAAATCCTACTTAATTATGTATTTACTCTAGAGGCTGGGGTGACTCTTGAAATCCTCTTTTAGATTTGGAACCAGAGCTTTTGATTTCTTTTTATTATTATTATTTCCTTTTAAAAAAACACTAAATCATTATTAGAAAGTTTCATCTCTCGTGCTTGCCAGATAAAATCACAGTTGTGTTTCTCTGGGAGAGATGCAAGGGATTAGTGTGGCTTGCTCTGTGAACAAAGTTCTCCACCAACACTAATGAGCCCAGTTCTTTAAATGAATTTAAGTGAAGTAACATCAATTTTTGTTGAGAGGTTTGCTGTTTTAAAAAAGGTAAATCACAGCTACAGACATTGCATATCTTTGCAGACTTACAGTCCAGATTGATAATGTATATTAATAAGGAAATAGGAATTCCCTGACAGCTGTAGGATTCTACAGTTGCCAGAAGCAACTATTGGGGGGGGGGGGAGCCAAGCCAGCTTGTCAGGCCAGAGGCCCATCTAGTCCAGCATTCTGTTCTCACAGTGGCCAACCAGATGTCTGTAAGCCTGCAAGCAGGGCCCAAGCACAATACAGTGATACCTCAGGTTACATACGCTTCAGGTTACAGACTCCGCTTACCCAGAAATAGTTAAGAACTTTGCTTCAGGATGAGAACAGAAATCGTGCTCCGGCGGCGCGGCGGCAGCAGGAGGCCCGATTAGCTAAAGTGGTGCTTCAGGTTAACAACAGTTTCAGGTTAAGAACGAACCTCCGGAACGAACTAAGTACTTAACCTGAGGTAGCACTGTAACGCTTTCCCCTCCTATAGTTTTCAGCAACTGCTATTGAGATCTATTCTTGCCTCTGACCATGCAGGCAGAGATAAGCCATCATGACTACAGTATTGGATAATGCATTCAGAAAGCTTCTCTGGATCACTCTGTGCCTTTTATTGGCGCCTCTGTCCACTAGCCTTCTGAAGATCTGCCTAGGGCAGAGGTTTTCAACCTTCTTGAGTCCACGGCTTCCTTGACCAACTATGGCACCCCTGTGAGGTTCAGGAGCCCAGTTATGTCACCCTTTGCCTGCAGAGCTGGCAGCCTCTCACCCATTTTCAAACACCCACCTTTGTGGAGTGTTCCCTCAGCCTCCTCTCCTTTCCCCTCTACTTGGGAGTCCTCCAGGCAGCTACCGCAGCCGCCCCTGGTCTCTGAGCTGCCTCAGCTTCTGGCAACCAGCACCCCCAGGCAGCATTTGCCTGGGGAGTTTGTAACCAGGGCTGCTGCAACAAACAGCTGTGCAAGCCTCTGGGAGGCAGAGATGTGAGAGGGCATCAGAGGAGGGAGGGAAGGAAAGAGGGACAGAGGCCAGTGCTACCCACAACACCCCTGGCCATCATTCAAGGCACCCCAGGGTGCCATGGCACACTGGTTGGAAACCACAGGCCTAGGGCAGTTCATGCAACAGTCTAGGCCCCACTGATAGCCTTCTCTTCCATGGATTGTCCAATCCTTTTTTAAAGTCACCCAAGTTGTGGGCCATCACAGCCTCCTGTGGGAGCAAATACCTTAGTTTTAATTATGCAATGTGTGTGAAGAAGTACTTTCTTTTATCTGTCCTGAGTCTTCCAACATTCAGCTTTATTGGACATACATGAGTTCTAGTGTTATGAAAGAGAGGAATGAAAAAATTGTCATCTACATGTCCTGCCCCCCCCCCCCAATTTCAAATTTTCTGATCTTAATCACAATTTGGCGTAAGAAGCCATTTCTTTATTCTGTAGCATAGAGCTTTAGGGTGGGATGGCTTATCTGCTACATGGTACTGAGAATACAGTGGTACCTCAGGTTAAGTACTTAGTTCGTTCCGGAGGTCCATTCTTAACCTGCAACTGTTCTTAACCTGAAGCACCACTTTAGCTAATGGGGCCTCCCGCTGCTGCTGCACCACCAGAGCATGATTTCTGTTCTCATCCTGAAGCAAAGTTCTTAACCTGAGGTAATCTTCTTGGGTTAGCAGAGTCTGTAACCTGAAGCGTATGTAACCCGAGGTACCACTGTATCTGTGTTCTAATGTCCACAGGTCTTTCAGCAATGACCAGGTTTTATCATTGCTTTTTATTGATTTTACATGTTCCATATCTTTATTTATTTTTAAAATGTGCTGTAAGTAAGTAAGTAAGTAAGTATAAATTTCCATAGTATTGCTATAATTTTTTGGTGTCAAACTTGAGCAGTGTATATATAAAAATCAACAATAAAACAAATCCAACCTCATGATGATCTGACGATGGATTTGAACCTTTTCTAGGGCAGGAACGGGGGCCGCAGGGTCAACAGAACCCACCACACCAGGCCAGCTGCCGGGCGCATGTGCATGAGGCGCACAGGGTTCATGGAGCCCTTTTCTAGGGTTGATTCTAAAGATGGACTTAACAGAATTTGGCCCTTGGTGCCCAGGGCAGGTGGGGAGGTGCTTTTCTTCCTTTCTTTTTAATGAAATGTCTATGAACCAGCATAAAACAAAACAACAACTTCTTTGTTAGAAACTGTTTTTAACAATGAGGCTGGGGAGTGGGGGGGAGGGATAATTCATGAGTACTAATTGCTTGGCTGTTAATTTTCATAAGTGTTGATAGAAGCAGTTCCTTAAATTAAACTTTGTTTAAAACGTATCAAGGGAAATATTCCACAATGTCGGGCCTGAAGTGAAAATTAATATGAATGCTGTGGCAATTAACACGTACTGGTTAATAGCTTTTAGCAGCATTTTGGGATGATAGACCTTAAATACATTTTTCGCATGCTGCTCTTGTTCCAGTTGCGTTCCAGTTATATGTCTGCATAATTATGAACCATTTCCCCCCCACAATTTCAGATATTAAATAGCTTTCCTAAAAAGAAAAAAAAAGGGGGGGGGATATCCACAGCAGAGTAAGAATGGAGAAAGGAGGCACACTGTAGTGTGTAACTGGGTTTTTTTAAAAAAAAAATTGCCCGAGATGTTAATTTGACATTTTAAAACCTATTGTGCAAAAATTAGAGGCTTTAATTTCCATTTCACATCATGAAGCATTTCTGCCCTAAATAGGTGTATCAAAATCAAACATGTTTATTATTTCTTAAGTGCCTGTAAAAAGAAAAAAGAAAGTACCATATAATACAAAATTATTTTTCTTCCATATTGCAGAGAAAGCTGAAACGTGCTCATTAGAAATGCCTTGAAAATCGGACTTGAGGGAATTGTTGGAGAGGCATTACCCCCCCTCCCTCAGGACACAAGACTTTTAGTCTATTTATTTGGGTTCAAGTTTATAACCTTACTTCCTGTGCCAAATGTCCACTCAACGTTCAGCTTACAGCATCTTAAAATAAAGCAAGATCGCAAAGATTAAGTATTACAAAACAGTAAAACCAACAACAGTAAAACAGCAGGATATCTGAGCCTGATTCAACCATGTCTGTTTGTGGGAGTGTGTGTGCTTTTGTTTGTACTGTACCAGTTTAGACACTTCGCCAAATCCCTCAGCCCAGTATACCTGAAGGAGCGTCTCCACCCCCATCGTTCTGCCCAGACACTGAGGTCCAGCGCCAAGGGCCTTCTGGCAGTTCCATCATCGCGAGAAGCAAAGCTACAGGGAACTAGGCAGAGGGCCTTCTCGGTAGTGGCGCCCTCCTTGTGGAACGCCCTCCCACCAGATGTCAAAGAGATAAACAACTACCTAGCATTTAGAAGACATCTGAAGGCAGCCCTGTTCAGTGAAGTTTTTAATGTGGGACATTTTAATGTATTTTTAATCTTTGTTGGAAGCCGCCCAGAGTGACTGGGGAGACCCAGCCAGATGGACAGGGTACAAATAATAAATTGTTGTTGTTGTTGTTAAAACACCAACACAAATGGAAGCAAGGGACATTCACCTTTCTTCACGCAAGTGTGGTAGTGCAGCTCTTCAACCACTGAGTTGAGGCTTGTAGTGAATGGCATTTCCCCTTACACTGGAGAAAGGGAGCTGGTTGGAGATTCTGTGCCAATTCCTCCTGCACCCCCACCCTGCCTCCAGAGCAGCATAGGAGGTATCACTGGAAGGTGCAGAATCACCACCCACATACTCATCTGGTGGATGGGTGGGGAATCTCTCTGGGGCCCAAGTTTCCTCTGTGAATGATAGGAGCCCTTGAAGCAGCCCTAGAATTCCTTGAAGTAGCCAGTATCCCATCTCCTAGCAGGTCCAGGAATAGGCAACAAGGTTGGAATGGGGTTGAGTCTGCTGTGATGTGATGGGGGGAGCGATGGCTCAGCCTATTTCAATTCACATATGTTTAATGATGAGTGTTCCATCCAGATTATTGCAGGAATTTTTGTCTAAATGTGCAAAACTCATTGGGCTGCATCCAGATAAGTTCCCCTTGGAGTAGTCCCATCAACACTGATTTGCTTAATTAATGTACAGTGGTACCTCAGGTTAAGTACTTAATTCGTTCCGAAGGTCCATTCTTAACTTGAAACTGTTCTTAACCTGAAGCACCACTTTAGCTAATCGGGCCTCCTGCTGCCGCTGCGCCACCGGAGCACGATTTCTGTTCTCATCCTGAAGCAAAGTTCTTAACCTGAAGCACTATTTCTGGGTTAGCAGAGTCTGTAACCTGAAGTGTATGTAACTGAAGCATATGTAACCCAAGGTACCACTGTACTTTTTTTCAGAACAATTTTTATTAAAGCCTTTTCATAGGAGAAAAGGATTTTTTTTTTAAACTAATCTAGATAGGAACAAATAGGGACGCGGGTGGCGCTGTGGGTAAAAGCCTCAGCGCCTAGGACTTGCCGATCGAAAGGTCGGCGGTTCGAATCCCCGCGGCGGGGTGCGCTCCCGTTGCTCGGTCCCAGCGCCTGCCAACCTAGCAGTTCGAAAGCACCCCCGGGTGCAAGTAGATAAATAGGGACCGCTTACTGGCGGGAAGGTAAATGGCGTTTCCGTGTGCTGCGCTGGCTCGCCAGATGCAGCTTTGTCACGCTGGCCACGTGACCCGGAAGTGTCTCCGGACAGCGCTGGCCCCTGGCCTCTTAAGTGAGATGGGCGCACAACCCCAGAGTCTGTCAAGACTGGTCCGTTCGGGCAGCGGTACCTTTACCTTTTTAGATAGGAACAAAAACAGAGAAAGAAGAAGAAAAAGAAGAAATGCAGAGCCTTCTCTCAGAGTTAGATCTTCATCCTTGTCTCACACAGAAGGAAATGGACCCTCCTAGCTCTCACCTGGGAGCTCCCCTTTCTTCTCTCTGCCTTCACCCTGGGAGATCTTCCCTTCCCTGTGTCTCACGCAGGGTCCTTCATTAAGTCCCTTCAGTGACCCATAGTAGAGGACACACTAATAAAATAGAAACAAAAATGAAGCTGGGGGAAAAGAGAAGAAAACAGGAAGATAAAGCTAATAAAAGAATAAAGACAGAAAAGAGAAAAATAAAATAGATGGGACTTCAGATTCTCTGTCTGCCAGTTATATACAAAAAATATTCAAAATATACAAAACATTCATTCCAGAATGGTATCCCGCTGTTCCTCCTTCTGCTAGGCAATATTTCTCCAGTCTTCAGATATAGACATCTCAAGTTCATTCATTTTCCCTTCCACGGACAAAAGTCTAAAAGGGGTTCTCCAGTTGTTATCAGTAATTGTCAACAATAGTCTTCCTTCAGTCCTGCATAGTGACTTTATATCTGATGTTGAAAAACAATAGATCCTTCATCTTGATTCAAACAGGAGTCTCCCCACTCTGGTCATATATTAAAACAGTAATCCATCGTAATTTACTTATGTTATATTCCTTAATTCACACGCAATTCAATATCTTCCAATCCCAATTCCTGTTAGCCATGAGTTTCCATCCTAAATTAGAAAAAAAAATAATCCTTGCATTTCCTCCTATTCCATTCTTTTTCCAGACTTGTCGCAAGAGGTTTGTAGCTTTCTCCTTCCGATACACAGTCTCCACTTTTGCAGCTCTATCACTGCCAGCTCAGAATTTTTCTTAATCTCTTGCTCCATGGTTTCTTTCATTCCACTTCTCCAACACCACAACTTCACCCCCAATTGCCTCACTCCTCTATGCACCGGTATAAAGAGTCTCTCTATTTTGTCATCCACTACTTCCATTTTTAGCACTCCACTTTCCTGCTCTGGCAGTCTTCCATCAACATCATTCTCTATAGGCTACGTGATCTCCCCAGCCTCATTTTTCTCTAGTCCATTTTTATTCACCAGCTCTAGCCTCTCTCAGTTGCTCACCCAGTAATTGCTGCATGATGCCAACAGTCAACGGGGTGTATTATACTTGTTGTCTTATTCTTATTAACAACTCACTCTGCTTATAGTCTCTGCTTTAAAAACATGTTAACCGTCTGCTTATCTGACAGTATTCTTTTCTCACAGTAGCATAGAAAAGCTAGTTTCACTTTTGCAATCAGCACTTTCAGAGAGACAGTTTTAAGAAATAAAACAAAAAATTTCTAACAGCTGGATCATGCCTTACCCATTTAGAATCTTTCTTTGGTACAAACAATTAAAACAGGATTTTTGTTTTACTTTCAACCTTTGAATGATTGTCTCTCCTTGCACCAGCAGCCGACTTGCATTCCAAATTTCACCTGCCAGACAGAATCACCTCAGTCGTAATTTATCAGTGTCTCAAAAGTAATTTTAAAAAGGGAGGTTTTACCAACCTTAAGGATTGATCTTCAGGACTATTATGTGGTATTTCTGCAAAATGGAAGTTCCTTGCTCTAAATAACTCACCCCGTCTGGGTCCCCCTAAAAACATGGTGTGTAAGTCAGCTTTTCCAGAGCATCAGAAGTTATTCCCTTTGTTCTCTATCTTCAGAGCAAGAATGTGATAACCAAGATTTATGTATCATTAATCACCACATAATTATCTCTGTCGACAGAGTGTTGACTAGAGATATTTAGTCTGCCATGATTCCTTCCGGAAGTCAATGTACTTTTTTTTGTGTGTGTGTATGAATCTGCACTGAATATTGGTAGTGCTGAATACAATATATTTATGTGCCCCAGGCTCTTAGGTGGGATATATACTGGAGCAAATAATACTAATACAGTGGTGCCTCGCAAGACGAAATTAATCCGTTCCGCGAGTCTCTTCATCTTGCAGTTTTTTCGTCTTGCGAAACACGGCTATTAGCGGCTATTAGCGGCTTAGCGGCTATTAACGGCTTAGCGGCTTTAAGAAAAAGGAAACAAACTCGCAAGAACTCGCAAGACGTTTCGTCTTGCAGAACGACTCAAAAAACGGAAAACCCTTTCGTTGTTTCTTTTCGTCTTGCGAGGCATTCGTCTTGCGGGGCACCACTGTACTAAATTTAATTAATTGTATTTTTAATATCTATAAGGCAACTCAATAACGTTGTTCTCTGGGTGACTCACAAGCATAAAATGATAAAATGTAATTCAAATACAGTATGATCAAACACAATATGATTCACAAGTATAACCACATTAAACAATTTGCAAAAAATATCACACTCTCACTGCTTGTCTACTTGGGAAAGCCAGAGAAAGCCAGGGGTGCATTGGGTCCCATCTGATGACCAGGGAGAGGGAGAAGCTGCCCAAGAAGGTATAAACCTTCCCATCTCTCCTGGGCCTTTGCTGAGATAGTAATTCCATATTAGGCTCCCATGAGCTCTACAACTGAGCGGTGCGCCTTTCCATTCAGTTCTCAGCACAGTGTGCAATACTGGTCTTGGGCTCAGGAGCTGCGGGGGAGGTATAATTTCAAATACCACCTTCTCTCACATGCAGCAGCTGAGATCCTCACAAGAGGGCCTTGTCTTGATCCCCACCACCATCACCTTCAGAGGTTTAGACCATGGGCTGCCGGGCAAGAGGACCTTTTTGGTGATGGCTTCCAGATTATGTCACTTACTGCTTAGGCATGTTTGCCCAGCACTGCCTTTGTTGCCTTCTAAGTTCCAAGTGAAACCCATCCTGTCCTCCCATGCCTTTAACAACATTTAGAGGATGACAAGCCTTTTCAGTATTATTTATTTATTACACTACGCCCCCAGGGCAGATTACAACACAAAAAGACAATATTAAAAACAATTAAAAACAACTTACAATCATAAAAATAGGGTAAGTACCAAAAATATACACATCAAGTGTCAAAAACCAAGGTAAAGAGGTGCCTCAAACTGTAATCTTGCTTTCCAGATTCTTGCTGAGTTTTACTTGCAGGGTCCTCTGTTTTGGCTGCTTTTATTTTTGCGGTTTGGTCAAGTAGTTTGTTGTGTGTTGTGTGTGTGTTTAAGTGCTTATTCATAAGCTGCCTTGAGCCCTTTTGTCTGAAGGCAGAAACCATTTTAAATAAATGTATAAAATGCAGGTCACAGGCCTCCTGCCTAGATGTAGCCAAATCATTTT